GGGTTTATGCATTTAGCATAGAGCGTACAGAATTCTTAAGACTGGAGTTCCATACTCACAACCGGAGGGTTCAATTGTATGTGGAACCATACTTAAGGCTCCTCTGTAGTCAGTTTGTATTTCAGTGTTATTGCAATTGGTTAGACCACCAACAATACACACTGCTACATGATCTCCTTGAGTGAAACCAACGATGTATCTATCCTTCTCAGTTTTGCATATTCTCTTCATTTATTGTTAAACACAATAGACCATGTATAATGATCAAGGACTAATTATGTAAACAAGTTTATCGAAACGCTGTACTATATTTGACTGGAGATGCACAAATACCTATTTCTGTTACCGTTGAATAAATTACTTATTCAATGCATTTACTGCATTTTTCTATAATGACACCTTCTGTAAATTACCTGGTTTTTAGGTAATTAGTGGACTAGATTAGCATTGTTTGTTATAACATTTTTTGATTACCCCTTTATTTCTTGTGATTTGTTCTAATCTACTGATTTATAGATTTTTATAATTATGAGGTACATGTGCATGAATGAATTCACTTAGGTATGGTAGATCCTAAAAAACCGGCACTTCGAACACCTAAAATAAATCTTTCTTTACTTATATACAAGGATGAACAACAACAAAAATTGTATGTTTTTCATAAAAACGTTAGCTAACATTTAAAATTCTGTTACAATGATTAAAAGTATAACATTTATACTGATTCTAAATAAATCTTTATCTTTTCAAAAACCAGGTGTCAAATTCTTGACAGAATAGCTTCCTAGCTGAAACCAAAAATTGCCAACATATGTACGCACTTACAGATGGGAAAAATTTATTCTTTAAAAGTTGCTTAAAATGATCTAAAACGTCAACATTTGATGAAATTTCGCATTGTACCTAGCTCATGCTATGAAGAGAAAACCGTCAGCATTTTGTTTGCTTTTATTAGAGGGACCTACCATCCAAATTTCGTTAAAATTGCTCCATAAATAAGAAAGTTGGATGTTGCACATGCGCAACACTATTTTTGCGCATGCATTTTGTTAGCTTTTATTAAAAGGACCTACCATCTAAATTTCGTTAAAATTGTTCCATAAATAAGAAAGTTGCATTTCTGCGCATGCGCAACACGATTTTTGCGCACGCATTTTGTTTTCTTTTATTAGGAGGACCTACCATCCAAATTTCGTTTTAATTGTTCCATAAATAAGAAAATTGCATTTCTGCGCATGCGCAACACGATTTTTGCGCATGAATTTTGTTTGCTTTTATTAAAGGGAGTTACCATAGAAATTTCGTTTAAATTGCTTCAGAAACAAGATCGTTGCGTTTTGCACATATGCAACACAATTTTTTGACTTTGACAATTTTTTCTCCGTTTTTTGATAATATAACCCGGCCCAATTTTTTGTAGGTTGTACACAGGAAAATAAGGTCTTCCAAATAATAGAATAAAAATTTTAGGTTGCTATTTGAAAAAAAAAAGTTCGATGCCGTTACGGCGCTCCAAAATTTTTTTTCAAAAATCCGGCCCGTTATTTTTCTGTTCGGTATGCCTAAAACATATATACAAAATTTCAACAAAATCCGTCGAGCCGTTTTCTCAGAAAATTGCCAACAAACGTACGTACGTACATACGTACTAGGAAAAAAATTTTATTCTTTAAAAGTTGCTTAAAATGGTCTAAAACGTCGACATTTGATGAAATTTTGAAATGTTCAAAAAACGGCTATCGCAATAGCGACCTAGCACATGCTAGGAAGCTAATTAATAACAATTGTACATTTAGCGTATTACTTATTTATATCTATGCACGACCCATGAAGAATTTTTCCGAACATCTTTTGCGCGGTAAGATGACTTCACTTTTTTGCCCTGAATTCAATGGTAAAAATAAAATTTAGTTGATCCTCCTATTTTGTGAGGGACAAATATTCGGCCAGGGGCGGACTGCCCCGGGGGGGCGGGTGGCGACCTGGCCTGTACGTCATAATGGCCCGTTGGAAATTTATAAGTATGTGCTGTATTTAGTTTCTTGCACTATTAATAAATTATTAACATGTTTCTCTAATTGGGGTTGATGTTAGGTTGTTAAAAAATTAAAAAATTCTGTGTTTTACAACGAATTTATCATTTTTTGTCGTAGCATGAAAGTGCTGAAATACAATGATAGGCGACGCACCTCGTGTGGATTGTATATATTTTGTTACTTTTAATTATCAGCTGCAATTTAAAAAAAAAACTGTATTGTAATTGATTTCCGAAAAAGGAGCACCTTAAAATGAAGCAAAAAATGTTTTTGTGGTGCACCGCAGAGCTACCCCCCCGCCACCTTCATTACTACACTAATACTTTAATGGCCCGTAACCTATGCAATTCCACCTGGCCCGCCCCTGACTAGAAACCAATTTCGAAAGAAAATTCAAAGGGCTGTAACTTTTGAACTAGTAGCCCAATCTTGGAACTGTTTGAAATTATGGATTTTACAGGCCACATTCTATAAGAAAAATTTTTTTCCGGGTCGATCTGAGACAATTTTTTTTGAGGGCCTCAAAAAAAGGCAGTGTATAACCTTCCCTTTTTACCAAAAATCGACTGCACCAAAATTTCTCGAGAAAACACTTTTTCTTATTAATTTTGGTGCGTAGAATCCAAAACAATTCGTACTTTTTCGATCGGACTTCTCAATCAAAAATTATGGACTAGATCCCGTTGATAAAGTTTATATCAGTCCATATTGAAAAAAGAAGTAGGTAGTAGTAAATTTACCGGTTTCTGTCGCTACATAGTAGGAAATTTGAAAAAAATTCGCCAAGTTGATGTGAAGTTTGTGGGACTCCATGAAAAGGTATTCTCAAACGGAAAGATAGTCGAATTTTTTTAAAATGCAAGAATTTTTTTATATCCACCAGTTTCACTAACTTGACTTTACATGAGCAAAACAGTGACACTTTGTTTTAAATAAAATTGTCAGTGTCGGCCATTAGTTATCGTATCCCGCTTAGGAATTTAACTAAAAAGGGGAATCGTATTTATATCGGTAGCGTTTCTTTTATATAAAATACCACGACGTTTCCTATGGTTATGTTTCGCTAATAAGTGAAAAAATGCCTATGTGTCATTTGTTATCTATTGGGCGCAACTTTATGAAAAGCAAAGGGCATGTGCATCTTTTGCTTTTGGTCGCATTTCTCGAAATAAATAATTTTCACGAAGACTTACTCTTAGTCCAGTAAGCAGATAATTTTAACCTGCAAAAGGTGGTGTAAAAGATTTTATTGTTTTAAATGGTCCATTTGGGTCCAAATAACATGTATTTGAAGAGTACGTACAAATTTTTTCCCGGCACAACTTTTGGGAGCCAAAAAACCTCAACATTTTTGGCATTTTTTTTAGTTTTTCGCTTAAAACTCGAAAACGGTCCATATTTTTTGAATAACACTTCTTTAGTAAAGAAATCAAAATTATGCGTCGATAAAAAAAAACAAACAAAATCGATCCAATCGAAAAATTTTTACAAGTGATCAAAAAACGCCCATTTTTTCCAACGAATTTCAAAAATTGGTCCAGTTTTAAATTGTTGGTACTTTTTGAACTCTCTGATTGATATTCTACAATCTTTAAGGAGGGGGGTAGTGAATTTTATCGTTCCTTTAGGAGCCACAACGCATTAAAAAAAGGTTAACTCAGTTCTTTAGAAAAGTTGGAAAAAATGGGCGTTTGTTGATCGCTTGTAAAAATTTTTCTATTGGACCGATTTTGTTTGTTTTTTATCGACGCAGAATTTTGTTTTCTTTAATTTATTAAAGAAGTGTTATTCATAAAATATGGACCGTTTTCGAGAAAAATTGAAAAAAGTCCGAACGTTTTGAGGTTTTTTGGCTGCCAAAAGTTGTGCCGGGAAAAAATTGGTGTGCACTCTTCAAATACATGTTATTTGGACCCAAATGGACCATTTAAAACGTTAAAATCGTTTACGCCACATTTTGCGGGAATCAGCCCTTCTGACTGCTCCGCATACTGGCCTATCTGAGGACACTGATAATTTTAGATGGGAAATATACACAAAAGTGTAATTTAGTCATATTTGATTTGATGTAACTAAACAAAGTGCTACGCTTCTGGTAGTTTGAAAGCATTGTTATAAAACAGAGTTCATATTCAGCACTACTTATGATATAATATGTGAAGTACCTAGTATTGTACGTACCCCCCCGCCCCGTCAAAGGGAAATATTATTACAGCCTCATTATAGGTTTTTTTTTATTTCTTGAAGCATCCTGATGGGATGCAAAAGGTTTTAGAAATAAAAAATTACTTCCAATGTACCTATAATAGGATACCCATTTTTCGTCTTGGGAATATGTGACATTATGATTTACAAATCAACAGCATTCAAATAAATAAATAATAAATAGTAATTTATCTAATCCATATCATTAGGAACGGCGTAACAATGTGTAGGGCAATGCCAGGTTGTTTCTTTTGTTTTCCCTTTCAAGTAATGAGTTGTCGCCTCAGGCGTTATAGTGCAATATGAGTTGCCTATCCTTACGTTAGCGTTTTGATTTTATCTGAAGATCGCTAAACATACTCTTTAAAATATATGCCTTATCATAATAGATGGAAATAATATCTTTAAGTACCGCCGTAAGAAATACTGTCGGATTTCCAAATTGGTGCTATATATGTTTTTCTACTCCCATTACAACGGCTGTTATTTACGAAAAACTATTTTTCTATGCGTCGATTTTCCTAAAAAACCAAGACCGATATTTCAATTTTTTTAAGTACCGCCGTTCTTTTCATCATTGCAAAGAATATCCACTATCGAGAATTTGTTAGACTTCAACTACAACAGCAGCATTTCATAAGAAAGTTTAGCTATTTTTCCAATATGGCGGATTGACTACAGAGGAGCCTTTTATTCTGGGTAATTGATCTTGTCTTTATTTAAATGTTTCATGGATGTGTTAAATAAAATATCAACAAATTTCTTAAATAACTATATACTTTATTACACCAAAATATTTAATAGATTAACATCATCTTAAATTATGAAAATCGGAAGAAACTACCATTATTAGATTTTATCTTTACAAAGAATATTCACTTCCATAATAAATTTGAGCGGTTCTCCCCAATAAGGATGCTTATTTGACACGAAGATAGAAATATAACACTTAGCTAACAAAACGCATGCTCCAAACAAGAGAAAATATCACCTAAACATCCCTTTATAAAATATTAAACCCTACAAACTATCTTTTACAAATTGAATAAACATTCAGATTTTTATTCTTTTACGTAAGGAGGCGAAAAGTTTTCTACAAGCATCAGATGGAACGAGTTTGATTAATTGAAACGACCTCCCGATGTTGCCTGCATTTATAAACATCAACTCACCCCTCCCCCTCCCCTCTGTTTCGCTTAATTTAAGTTAGGTCTTTTTACAAGTAATAAGTGGACCTTTTCAACCTTGCCTTTAAGAAGCCCCCAATACAAAGTGTTCGAAACCTGCCTTGAGGTCCGATAATAAAACAGAATTTGCAGCTCTACCGTATAAAATAATAAAACATTTTCGTGCCGCACTTTTAAAGTAGGTAGTCGAACATAGTGTAGGAGAAATCAAAGAAATGAAATTTACACATAATATGTCTACCCTAACCCTCATAGGTACAAAGGAGTAACATATAAGACACTATGTCCTACCGTCTTTAAAAGCTCTTTAAAATGATTCTCACGAAATTTTGTTACGCCACCAGCAGTATAAAATTAGAGGCGAAGCAAAATCTGTGAACGAGTACAGATGCACGGGATAAATGAAGTACAAGTAAATTATAATTAAGTATGTATCGATAACGTTCCAGTTGGTCTTTTTCGCCGGGACCAACTGTAACGTTACGCCGACTGTGACGATGAAATGAAACGAAGGGGTAGAAGCCGTGATTGCACACAGCTCTACCGGACACCCTCAGCTCGGAAACTTAGAATAGAACGCGTACGTCAGATCGTAGTCCTTGAAGCAGCAGTGCTGCATATCGTGACGTTTCCACTGCCCGATCGTCTGCCAGCGCTTCACCTCCTTCGGACTGTCCAAGGCGGCAGACGCCTGAAAACACCACGGTAAAAACTGAACGTCGCTAACGAAAAACAAACCTGATTAGTGAAGATCGTAACGACGAACTTGCCCGGATGAAACGTGTCCAGTACTTTCGTGATGATCTCGCGATAGGAGGCCGTGGACATGTTGGTTTCGAAGCTGACGTACGAGAATTCCGGCTCGGGAGTGATGTGGATGGTCATGTAGCAGCCCTACGAGTCGATCAAAGTTAGTTCTATTATTGTGTTTTGTTTATTTACGTGACTTACTTCGGGGTAAACCTTTAGGGCAGGCGGGAAAATTACAAAATATGGTTTAAAACAATTTTTTCGATATTAATGATAATTGGAGATTGGTCATTTTGTCTCTTTACATTTGGATTCTTCTATCAATACCATTGAAATAATATTGGGATTCTGGTCTGAACTTCATTTTATTTCGTGCGTCGCGTCCCATTTTTAATAAGAATGACAAATGTCATTAGAATGCGTAATCGTTTGGTTCACTTTATCTACTCTTACTGTTAAAGGGAGACTTCTACTCATTCAGATGTCAATTTAACATCTGTTATAAAATAAACATTTTTTATTGCTGTTTCCTTCCCCATTTTCACATGTAGGAAGATTAATTTTCCACTATGGTATTAAGTTTACTTTAATTGAAGTATGTTTAAAATATAAAGAAAACATTTCCAAAAATAAGAGTTGGATAATATATAGTGTGTTCAAATAAGAGAGCCGCCTTAATATCTCTTTTATTTGGCGAGATGCAAAAAATATTGTTAAATATAATTTTATGTGACATTTCGACCTATCCAATCTCATATTGGAACTTCCGGTATCCCTTCCGGTTTAACCGGATCTGGTGATTTGGGAATTTCTTATTCCTTGATACAAGGCAGTCTTTGATATTTTAAGTTGCATCCATATAAATTTAGAAGGCTACAAAAGCTACACTCGGGATTTTGGAATCTTCTTTTGCGAAGAATTTTTGATGAGGGTTCATGATGATCGTAATAATAAATAATAACAAATTGACATATGTTACTAATAATATTTAACATTGAACATTGATTCGAATGACATTTCAAATAAAACAATTGCTTCCAAAGCCTACCATCCCGAATAAAAAAATAAGAACATTTATTTAAAAAAATACCAATAACGCAAAAACTGCCGGAAATAGGCAAACTGATCTTAAAATTCAAATCTACAATTATTTCGGCCACCAGAAAAAATAGTTGCAATTTGAAAAACTGAAGTTTTTGAGATTTTTGAAAAATCGTAGCAGTCCTGGAAATGTTGTTATTATTGCATGTATAACAAAGTTTATTTGAGCATTAAATACACAAGTAATACACACAAAACAGAAACAAAAATCTCTCAACAAAAACATAAACAATCTGTCTCTACGTTAAACAAATTCAATTTTAGGAGGATAGAATGGATTTAAGTTTCTCGATATTCCAGATTTGATTTTGCAAAAATTTTCTCAGAATTCATGTACACTCATGTAGACGTTCTTTCAATCTAAACATAAAAAATAATGACGGGACGCCCTGTATATGACAATATTTCAATTTAGTAAAGTAAACCTGGGGGGATTATATTTGTAATAATTTTGTGTAGAAGCAAGGTAACTAAACTTGTGTGAGAAGTTTAAAGCAGTTTAATTGGGTTTATTCGAACCCATTGTGCGACCCAGATGGAGTTTTCATGTCAGATTTACCTTTCATATCTAAGGTGATTTTTTTAAATAAGCTCTTTGGAATTTTTGAAAGTTGACCGAGGCCACCGAGTGTCCCAAATCATTAATTTAGGGGCAATATTGGCATTTTTCTTTGTAGCAGATGCCGGAGGCATACTAGGAGAGATTATAAAAATTTTAAGTTTCAATTTTGATTTGTTTTGAGTTAGCTGGGCAGGTGTTTTGTGAATGGTGTAAGAAGCCATTGCACACAAGACTATTTATTTGGCGCCAAACGTGAGGCACAGCATTATTCACTTGGCGCCCAACGTGGGGCCACACCAATATTCAATAACTCAAAAATCGTGTTTTTGCAAAATGAAGAACAGTGAAATTATGGTTCATGGGAATACAGCAGTTACTTCTCCCCAAAAAACCAATTTTGTATGAGTATTTCTCAAAAATTCGTTTATAATCCCATCCCTTAATTTTTTCTCACCCTTTGGTGATTGAAAACTCGAAATTAAATTCTCAGAAGTCATTTGATCACTTCGTTTGAAATTTGTTTCCTCTTTAAAACGTTCAATGATAGATGGAAAATACCCCTGATAGTAGGCAAACCAAGTTACACGAAAGCTTGACAACGAGAGACTTAACTCATGATATGACCAATCCCGTTTTGCACACCACAGGCTTTACTTACATTTTTGGAAATCCCATTCATCGAGTATCCGCAAGGTTCGAAAAGGAAATCGTCGACGACCATATTTGGAATAATCTTATCGATTCCCGATTTCTAAAAAAAAAACCATTCAGTCACAATTTACGAAATTGACAGTTACCTTTGTGGCCTCGGCGGCGTTCAGACATTCCTCCCTAGTAAATATCGACATAATGTCGGGATCTAAATCGGTCATAAGAATTTCGAGGGTCTGATCCGGATCGGGTTCCGGTATTCCGGCGCTTATCGTATCCCTGGGCGGGTTCAGGGTGTACAAGTACCAGCAGTCCTTATTCATCGTACCTAAGCAGTAAGCGTTACCGTCCGGAAACAAGGTATCTAAAAGCGCCACCTACATGTAAAATAACTAATTAAATAATAATAGTAATAAATAAAATCACCCGATTTGACGAGAGAAAAGCTCGGGGGGGTGATTTGACATGGAAATTGCCCGAATAACGGGCGATCGTTTACCTCCTGATCGAAATCTTGATGGGGTTGGACCTGTAATTCGGGTCGTTTGTAGTTCTTGCGCGAGTAGAAGAGATCCTCGACCTCGGTGAAGCCGGCGTACTGCTCGACGAGGAGCAGGAGCGGTTGCAGGCACATCAGGGGGGTGGTCGTTCCGCAGGTCTTCAGGATAAATCGACGTTTCGATATGAACATGGAGCTTTCGCTGCAAAAAAAAATGTTACATAGTGTCTTGTGACCTCGTGTGGCTAAATTGTGAAAGAGTTGCTATCTAACGTGCTTATAGACAAGAAGATCGTAGTAAATTTGTAATTATACACTTATCAGCGATTGTATGGTATTGTAGGCTGTGTGAGCTGAAAGGTCGGTGTGATAAGCAAACGCCCTTTTCTGAATTTAGCTAGAAACAGTGGACAATTTGATAAGTGCATCGTATCTAATGACCGGATATTGCATTTCAGTCCAGTTAGCACTGTATTTGCTATTTAAATTGTGATAAGCTAGCTTGATTTGTCTACATGTGAAAGGAGCAAGCCTTATTAGAGGTTTCAGATTATGAAAATAAGGGACACTGACTAACATTTTTGATCTTTAAACTGTAATTCTCTATTCGGGTCAAAGATCAAAGCAACGTTGTCAAGTGTTATACTACAGGAGGTGAACACGAGTGTTGAAAGCCATGAGGAATAAGTTTCACCGAATATCCCATCTCAATGGCGGTCACTTGGGGTTATCAACTACCTACTACACTGTGGTTATCTTTAATTCATTCCGATTGTGTTGACCTATGCTAGATTAGATTAGTCACCTCCACTCGCTCAGCTGATCACTATTTCTGGCTATTGTGAATAACTCGAAAACTCGGTACCCACTTTCCCTGTTTCAAGGGTACTTCGAAAAGCTTGCGCCGTTTGTTTAGCCAAAACAACCAAACAAAACAAATGTGTATCAGCTATTGGCCGACTTTGTGACCTCTCACTTTACCCAACATTTGACTATCTCTTTCTAAACTTTCAAGGTAATAATATAGGAGGCGAGGTTTTATATGGAAACCAAAATTCCAGACGAAAGTCAGTATAATTCGGTATAATTTTATATACAGGTTGTCCAGTCTAGCTGTTTTCTCAAATATCGTAAACGTCAGAACAATAACGATATAATAAAACGTTTTCTTAAGATAATCAAAAAACAATATAATTAATTGGCGTTTAAGCTAATTACTACAAAGGTCAACAAAATAGAATTCCACTTTTCGGCGACGTTAGTACTAGGAAATGAAACAACGCACGGACTTTGATGTACAAGGAAATAAAGGTGCTGTGCTCCACCAATTGATAATTCTACTGACGTAACATCAAAATGTTGATACACTTCGATCTTTGATCCTTAGACTAATAGGTTAGGAAAAGACATTTTATTCAAGATATAAATTGTAACTTTGAAAGAAACAATCATACTTGGGATACGAGCCGAAAACGAGCGAAAGTCGGCATGAGTAGCTCACAGGTTTCGTTTATTAGAAACACTATGGAGAGTGCTCGTGCTCGTCACAAAAGTGATCTGGTGCATTATGCGACACCTGAAAAAATGTTACACTCATGGCTTCCAAATTTTTTGAATTTCTGAATTTTATATTTTTTGACTTTAGATAAGACTACCTATAATCTGTTTTCAAATTTTTATGCATTTTGAATTTTTATGTCCATCAGATATAACCTTTTGCATTTTTTAAATATTTCTAGCCTTTTTACACGGTACACTACCCATAATCTTTTGATTTCTAATATTTTCCGGCTTCCTCTATTTATTAACGTTTCATATTTTTCAAAATTTCTGAATTTTTTCAATTTACATTTTCAAATTTTTATACATTTTGAATTTTTATGTACATCAGATATAATCTTTTGCATTTTTTAAATATTTGTAAACTTTTTAGACGGTACACTACCCATAATCTTTTGATTTTTAAAATTTTCAGGCTTCCTTTATTTTTTCACGTTTCAAATTTTCCAAAATTTCTGAATTTTTGCAATTTACATTTTCAAATTTTGATGAATTTTGAATTTTTAGGTTGATCAGATATAACCTTTTGCATTTTTTAAATATTTCTAAACTTTTTACACGATACACTACCCATAACCTTTTGATTTTTAAAATTTTCAGGCTTCCTTTATTTTTTAACGTTTCAAATTTTCCAAAATTTCTGAATTTTTGCAATTAACACTTTCAAATTTTGATGAATTTTGAATTTTTAGGTTCATCAGATATAACCTTTTGCATTTTTTAAATATTTCTAAACTTTTTACACGATACACTACCCATAACCTTTTGATTTTTAAAATTTTCAGGCTTCCTTTATTTTTTAACGTTTCAAATTTTCCAAAATTTCTGAATTTTTGCAATTAACACTTTCAAATTTTGATGAATTTTGAATTTTTAGGTTCATCAGATATAACCTTTTGCATTTTTTAAATATTTCTAAACTTTTTACACGATACACTACCCATAACCTTTTGATTTTTAAAATTTTCAGGCTTCCTTTATTTTTTAACGTTTCATATTTTCAAAAATTCCTGAATTTTTGCAATTTAAATTTTCAAATTTTTATGAATTTTGAATTTTTAGGTCCATCAGATATAACCTTTTGCATTTTTTAAATATTTCTAGACTTTTTAGACGATTCACTACCCATAACCTTTTGATTTTCAAAATTTTCAGGCTTCCTTTATTTTTTAACGTTTCAAATTTTCCAAAATTTCTGAATTTTTGCAATTTACATTTTCAAATTTTGATGAATTTTTAGGTTCATCAGATATAACCTTTTGCATTTTTTAAATATTTCTAAACTTTTTACACGGTACACTACCCATAATCTTTTGATTTCTAATATTTTCCGGCTTCCTCTATTTATTAACGTTTCATATTTTTCAAAACTTCTGAATTTTTTCAATTTACATTTTCAAATTTTTATACATTTTGAATTTTTAGGTCCATCAGATATGACCTTTTGGATTTTTCTAATATTTTTAGATTGTTTATACGGTGCACTATGTATAATCTTTTGAATTTTTAAAATTTTCAGACTTCTTCCATTTTTAACGTTTAATATTTGCCAAAATTAATGAATTTTACTTAAATTTCGGAAACTATTTACTGTTTTCACGAAAAGGAAACTAACTTTATGTAGATTTGGCACGATTCTAATGTTTTCTGAATTCTCTCGATTTTTTAAAATATCTGTATCGTGAACTTATCAAATTTTGGAGCTTTTTTAATTGTTAATTTTGATGAATTCATATACCGACGTTTGTGAGTCGTCATAAACGCTCCACTGAAATTGTCGAATTTTTTAATCGTGAAAATATACTGAACTCGGACTGAACTGTAGCGAACTAATACCCAACCTTAAACCTCAAAGCCTCCAAACATCGAATTTTAAAGTTCTTACGGAATTTTTCGCACTTTTGCACATTTTCATGAAATTTTAATGTGGTCTTTTACTTTTTGTGATTTTTAGAATTTTTATGAATTTTCAGATTTTTTAATTTCTTTAATTTTTGCGAATTTCTATTTTTTTACCTCATTTTATAGTTTACATTCCGTTTCGAAAATTACTCGGTACATTATTTTTGAATTTAAGTGAATTTTTTTATTTTTGCGCTTTTTGAATATTCCGATTTTGGGCGTTTAACACAGCAAAGTGGATTGGTAGCAGCCGTACCTGAAACTCGCCCCTCAAAACTAAAGACGAATAAAATAAATCTTGCAAACATTTCTAAAATACTTTAAAACTGCAGTTTTCAAATGTGTTAGTTTTTACTAGTTCAGATTTATTCTTTCATATCTCTTATTTTTACATGGCTTTTCTGAAATTTTAAGGGATAAGGTCCTTACTATAAAAGGAAATTGAAATCACTCTCTTATTTGTAACCAAATTGTCAGATTATAGTCTTTTTTTCTCTTAAATTTTTGAATTTTTGATTTGTCAAATTTTTGGAATATTTTCCATTTTGCCATTGTTATATGTATTTTTATAATTTTTGTTTGGAATTTTAAGATTTTAAAGATAACCGGAGATTCTACAACGGTGGTTGAATGCTGGGTGTCTGTGTGTAGTAGAACATATACGAAAAAGACAAACAGACAGACGGACGCAAGAGTGTTTGATTAGGAGACCACAATTTGTTTACTAACCGGCGACTCATAGTTTCAATGGCATTCGCAAATACATAAATAGCTATACTGACATTTCAAAATCTATAAAACGAGAAATCTCGAAAATAGCCGCATCATCTGTGCGATTTCGCCGACGCCACAGGTGAGTGGGACGTCATGTTTGGCATTAGCCCCCTGTATATTTTTGTTTATAAAATTCATATAAATATTTTCGCGTTTGAGTCGCGCGATTTATTGAATTACAATTTTGACGCTACGGACGCAAAGCGATCTGTGTGGGAAGAAGTACGTCACGAGAATATTTTCGAATATTGCGTCCTTGCACTTGGTTCCCGAGATCGATCGCATCCTGGATTTCATCCCGAGCCGGAGAGGTTGATGCGACGTAATCACGTGACCTATTTTAATAGACGATATTATGAAATTTTCGCACGGGTGACCTTGAGGGGTTTGCTGGTAGACAAAAGGGCTTTTTTTCCGGTATTCCAGCGGATCAGTGGCGTCGAGACGAGAGTATTGTAATTATGGGTGACCCCCGAAGACCTCACATTACTGATCCAAAGGTCAATTATTTATTTTTAAGCGATTTATGAGACAAAAGCCGATAAGAAAAAGTTGAAAATAGCACGCGGTAGCGCGAGTTTTTTAATTAGGGGAGGGAGTGGAAATGTACTATACTACCTGCATATAGATAAGAGGAAATGAACTTACCTCAGCACATAGGCGTCGATTTGGTCGTTATTCACAAAACTGATAATTTCACAATGCACAATTTTCAAAATCGATTCCAACTTCCCCCTACGCAAGAAATAACAAAAGGTTACACACAGAAAGACAGAATCGGCAAATCGTGCAACAATTAAAACAAAATAACGTCGCATAATAATAAAAAAAAAACAATCGATTAAACATTCGAAATGCACATGCGGACAAATTTTTGCACAAAACGCCGGTCGATTTCGCCTTTATTTGCGTTACACCAACCTCGGAATCTTTCGCAAATCGGAATGCTTATTGCTATCCCTTCCGTTCGTAAACCAAATTTCGAGGAGCTTCTCGACTCCCTCAAAGAACTGTACACCACTGTCACTCATTTTTCTATTATCATAACACGATCGCTGCGGGATGCGAACTCGCTAAAAAACAGGGACAAAATAAAGCAATAAAACTGACGGGTCCTCTCTTAAATATTGACGCGTGCGCGATAACGGTTCGTATTTTATCGACTGTTATCGTAGGAAAATATGAATTTCCCACCTTTTTTTTTTTTTTAAAAAAAGCGTGCGGATGAGCGATAGTTTTCGGGAAAGAATCGCCGTATTTCACAACGCCTTTGGAATGCGGCACGAGTGCGCTTGTAGTTGCCAAAGCCAGTGGCGTTAGACCGCAAAAGTCGTAAAGTGGGTACTTATACCGGGGAATTTTGAATAATTTCGCGCGGGCGGATGGTATTGGTACCCTAATCTTATAGCGCCTCATATCACAAATAAATGTAACTGAATAAATGATTATTTACTAAAAAATTACTTTAAAAAATAGAAAATTTGTTGCTGCGCTGTCTCATTTTTTAAAATGGTAGAATCTCTACAGGGTGGCCAGTCACTTAGCCAAGGGTGGGCCTTGTAAAATGTTGCATCACATTATGCAAGGTGTTACATAAAGTATGTAAAAAAAAACTTGGTGGTCGAGAGGATCAAAACAAGCACTTTTTCCAAATAAACAGAGAGTCCAACGTGTGTTTCGTTTTGGAGCCACCCAGTGGCGTATTTACGGGGGGATGAAGGGGCTATATCCCCCCCCCCCCAGAAGAATTGAGTTATCATCATAGCTATTAGGTATTTAGGTAATACTCCGCTATCCGCTCCGCCCGCTTTAAAATAAAGACGATAATATATAGGTATATATAGAGAGCAATTTTGGTTTTGGTTAAAGTCTAAAGTCACTAAAATCTAAATATTCTGTAGTATTCAGTATTCACTATTCAGTGAGTGATCAGTGTTGGCAGTCAACGATTTGGCTATTCGGCATCGATCGGCAATTCGCTACATTGATGCCCAAAATAACAAGTAGGTATGAGGACAGGAATTTTTTTTGCCCATAACTTTTGATTGAGACGTCTAATCGAAAAAGTACGAATCGTCTTGGATTCTACGCACCCAAATTAATCAGAAAAAGTTTTTTCCCCTAGAAATTTTGGTGCAGTCGATTTTTGGAAAAAAAGGAAGGTTATACACTGCCTTTTTTTGCCCCGAAAAAAAAATTGTCTCAGATCGATCGGGAAAAAATATTTTCTTATAGAATGTGGCCTGTAGAATCCATAATTTCAAACAGTTCCATCAATCTTTTTCGCCTGTACAATAATAAATAGATAAATGACTACCAGCATCAGCAACCTGCAACCCAATTTCTATTTCTTACCCCCCCCCCTCCCCTTCTAGTACGCACTGGGTGACTGTATGTGCCACGAACTTGTTTAATCTTCCCCCAGAATAAATTTCTACGTGCGCCACTGGAGCCACCCTCAAAGAGGTGGTGAAATTTGCATTTCTTTTGTAATTTTTACAAAGACGAGTGGCACGTCTTTGATAGATTTTGAGGTATGCCGCCTATCCAATTTTGCAAAAAAAATTTCAAAATTCCTACCACGAGATGGCGCACCCCTAAATGCGGTTCTAAAGTCACAATTTTCCTAAAATTCATTGCTTCCCTCACGTTTATGTATTTTCCCAGTTATGCGTTTTACTTTTGTTATAGTTAATTATGGAGTTAAACGAATGCAATAAATGTTAACGTTTTAAAAAATATATGACTAATTTGAGAATGTGGCCTGCAATATCGAAAACATACGACGTACCTATTTAAGAAGATAAAGTAAGGCACATTACTTAATCGGGTACTTAAAAAAACTCATTAAGCGAAGGTCCCTTGTTAAGCAGTTAATTATTCACAATTGTTTTTGCCAATAAATTGACTTGATATAAACTGTCCCTGCACCTGTGGAAAGCTAAAATTATTTGTCCATCCGTCCGTCCGGATTCACTTGCACTTGTGCGGTTTTGAACTACTGTTTTGGGAAGTATTCTAAAGTTTTGAAATTGTTTGCAATAGGGAGCTTATACCTTGAAGTTGTGTCACTTTTGTTGGCTTAACCCCCCCCCCCCTCTCCTTCACGACTGCTTTTCGTGACAGGCGAGGGGGAGGAGGTGCTGCTTTTATCTTTCATAGTATTCCAATTAAAAGTATCAAGAAAAGGAAGTATTTTCTACCAACTACAGCCCCTTGCCCTTAGCGCTTTTCAATATGCGGAGTTGTGGGGAGGGCTGGATTTATCCTTCACGGTACTCTAATGGAAGGTCTTAACGAAAGAAATACAGTCCTACCAACCACAGTTCACTTATCCACTCATAGTGATCGGTTATAATTCCTTGTATGTCTTCGGATTGTCACAGGGAGTATTTATACTTAGAAAAGGTGATTGGAACTTCTGGCCGAAATATATCCATTAGTAATGTCAAAAGTACTTCCCTTCGACACACCGTTTTTGAGAGCAAATATCTCAAAAACGGTGTGCTGGAGGAGAGTACTTGCAAAGGAAAAATGAATCGTCTGGGTACGACATACAGGGTCGTGCAACAGTGCGTTGGCCTTTCCTATCCTGCGGTAAAAAATATCAAAAAACTATAGATGGTTGATGCGCATATACAGAAATTATTTTTGAATGTACAGGGTGTCCCATTTGTACGGTGTCAATACACAGCGGATTTTTTTAATGGAACACCCTGCATATTTTTAGCTGATTCGATGTCATTTTTTAACCTCTGCACGAAAGCCTATTCACTATTCACTCTCCTTTTTGTTTTATATTCTATTTAATAAATCTCTATTATTATTATTATTTGGTTTTTTGTCAATGTTGCCAAATTTTTTCCGCATAATTTTCTATAAGCCACACCCACTTTATTTCGTAGTCAAATAAGATTATTTATTATTTTTCGAAATTCGGCTTCAATTTTTTTGGTGAAATCCAACCGAACTTATTTACTAGATTAGATCAAGTGAATAATCTCCGCAAGGGAAGGTAACCTCTTGCCTTACGTGCGTAGCGACCACGCGTACCCTTAGCTAACCCTGTGCTCATACACAACAAAACAACATAAGTAGATACATCAAAGTTTCTCTACAATTCACTGTTCCTCTCAAGTACCTGTGAAACCTCCCCCACGGCTCCCAAATTCTTCCCATAGTGTGCATCAAGTTCCTTGTTTTTCCCCATTAAATTTTTCTCGAAGAGAAAGAATGAATTCTTAAGAAGGGAAAATCCACGAAGTATTTAGGGTGTTGATTAACTGCAGCTGGAAGAATGTTCGGGGAGGAGGGGGAGGTTTCCCCTTCAAATTCGCGCTGTTTTATTTATCCAACTATAAACGAGTGGTCTTAACGGAGCCTCCGAGCCTCCCGTGAGTACGTAGGTACGTTAACCCCACCCCAAAACGCCAAAACTGATTTGGCCGATTAACGAAACGATTACCATCGAAATTCTAGTCCTTTCCAACGTTTCCCATATAATATAATCAACTAAGCTATTTGTTGGAAAATATTTAGCTCTATTTGATTTTTTCCATTTCAATCTTTAACACCATCATCATTTTTTTTAAATACACCTGTAGAAAACATTTTAATTTAACATTACATTTTTGTTTTAATGAAACATTAATAGGGCTCTCTAAAGCACCTCTTTTTTCAACATTCAATAATTTGTTTATAAGTTATGGAATTTTTCCTTGTGAAATGAAGAATTCAAAAAAATGCTATATTATTTCTTTTGCCTTGGGGGCATTCCATACCTCCCAGTTCTACATTTTTTCCCAGAATGTGTAGAACCCTTAACACTTGCACAAAAAAATTATGAAGGAGTTTTGAGAGTGAATATGTATCACCAAGGGGTCTGGTGGGTATTCAATACCCCCCCGGATTCCACCTAGGTTTTTATGTCAGTTGTAGGTAGATGAAAATTGACTATTTCTTTTGTTTCCCAAACCCCCCGCTTCTCCATTATTTCCCTAAATGTGTAGTACCCTTAGCACTAAAATTTTATGAAATAGTCATAGTTAGGGCTTTTTGATGGTGAATATAACGCTGGGGGGGTCTGGAGGTATTCCCATACCCCCCAGTGTACCCAGGTTTTTCTGTCAGCTGTAGGTAAATGAAAATTGACTATTTCTATTCCATACACCCCGGTTCTCCACTCTTTACCAAAATGTGTAGTACCCTCTAGCTTAGTACTTACACCACATTTTTTAATCATCGGGGGATCTGATTTCCGAGTGAAATTCATTTTTTAGCAACCTTTAATATGTAAACAAACACATGTAAATGGTTTGTCTACAAAAATTAAGTCAAGACAATAACGTTCTATTAAAATTAATGTAATTAATATTGCTGTCTGCTTCTATCACATGGAGAGAGCGCATATCCTTCTCTTCCACACGGAACGATATACATGTTTCTCTCTCACGCGCTACTTAAAATTGCGACAACCGTACTGTTACGTGTGAAAGATAAGGACGCAGAGTGGTGTACGCACCAATGCAAGAGAGGGCGCACGCGCTCTCTCCAGGTGATAGAAGCAGACAGAAATATTAATTACATTAGTTTTAATTAAGGGTAGCATTACTTAATTTTTTTGGGCACCCATTTGCAATGTGTTTGTTTGCATATACGAAAAAATATATTTCACTCGGTAAACAGATGCGCGATGACATTGACAAGCGATTTGAGCGTATATGACTACTTTTAGGAGAGACAAGCGCATAATTTATACAGAGTTACTAAGTTCCATTTTTTAAAAACTGTTATTGTTAAATACATAGAGTGCGCCCATCAAATCGGAATGTTTTTGCACCTCCGTTTATTATTACATTCATTAAAAGTTTATGTAATAAATCCCTTGACGTTGGTGGATGCTACACCAATTCTTAAACCAACATTGTATCCTATGACTTTCAAAATCACGCGAGTCAGCCTCAGCGCCATACTTTGGCGGTTATCTAAGGATATAGCTCTGCTTGTTCTACCACTTAATCCCACTGTAACTTTAATTATATGCATTACATAATGATAAAAGCATCAATAAAAAACATTAACATGTCGCTTATCATTATATTCAATTTACTTGTACAAGAAGACCTTCAAATTAACAACATAAACATTGCATTGTAACGCATTGCAGTCTTAAGCGATATACAATTAACTATCACAATAAGTTAAATAATGTGACTTCCATTTACGATTCGAAGGGATTTAAATTTTTATCGTAATCGTCTTTGAAAGGGTTGGTCTCGTCCAGCTCCTCGTCCAGGAACGGATTCTTCGTTTCGTCGTACTCGGTCTCGAACGGATTTAATCCCGCTTCCGATTTTTGAGGTTTGGCACTATCGGCGTACTTTGCCTTTGTATTGTACTGACGTTCCCGTTGCCTGACGCGACCCTCTGGAGTGGAAGCTATCGGGATGCCGCCGCTTCGCTTGTTCTCCGCTTGACGCAGGCGCGCCTCCGCGCCAGGTCCGTACGTCTGCACCTCCAGCTAAATAATAACTTTTATTGAGCCATTCAAAACGCGTCATAATAGACCAAGAGATAACGACAGATTTTTGCTATGATTAGTAAATGTCTGTCACCGCAATTTTCTCTTTACATAGGTTAGAACTAGCGTGTAAACGTATACAGGGTGGTGACTTGCGTAACGCATCATAGGGATTTCAATGTACAATTCATAACATGCCATTATTGGCTCCCCAAATTATTTTAGAGCAAATTTTGTAGGAAAATTTTTTTTACGTCAATCAACCGTATTAGTTTTCAATTTTGCATGATAAAAACGGAAAATTGGAAAAATAAAACCCGCATCTTTTTCAATAATCTGCGATGCCATGGAATTTTCTGAGGAATTTTCTAAAACAAAAAGATATCCAGTTATCAATTACCAGCAGATCGAAATGGATTTTATGACCGACTTGGTTAATGTCTTCCAGTTAATGGTGACTTATTCGAACATTTATTGTACATTGTTATATTAGGAAACCGTTTGTAGTAATTTGGTCTTTCCTTATGTTGAATTCGCTGTTCTAAATATAATACTTTTATTTTTCATTTGCCTATTATATGTCAATTATATCTGTCATATGTGATATATGAAGCAGTCTATTACGCCCAAGGGCATAATGAGAGGGCATAATGGATTGTCATCTCATTATGCCCTCAAATGGCCTGTCAAATTGACTGACGGAGTTATATTATGTCATAAAAAAGATGCAACTTGATTCGTATGGAGCACTTTAATGTTGGGCAAACAATAATCATGACATTTGTAATGCATTCTTTGGAATGATGAAAAATAAAATGTTGTATGCACCTCAGGCATTACTCAATATTTAACCCTCGGGCGACTTACAATCCCTCGGGGCGGAGGCCCTCGGGCTCTGTCGCCCTCGGCATAAATATCGCCTTAATGCCCTTGATGCATAAATAACTATTTGATAGAATTTGATTTGTTTTTAGCAGACATTCCATGGCATGACGGATATTGGCGTAGATTTTGTATTATAAAATTCCATGGCATCACAGATTATTGAAAAATATGGGGGTTTTATTTTTCCAAGTTTCCGTCTTTATTATGCAAAAAATTGAAAACTAATACGGTTGATTGACGTAAAAATTTTTTTTTCCTTTGCCAATCAAAATTTTTTTGGCAATTTTTCAAAAATTACATAATATGTGCTACCAAGCGAATAGACAAGGAAAATCGTCTGTGAATGTGTTAGCGCCCTATTATTTTTCTTTCTAATATTATTTTAAAATTGATGGCAGATTAATAAACTTTTGTTTGTTGTGCTGTCAAAATTAAAAAAATTAAATGAAAGGAGAACTAACCGATAACAGACGTATGATATACGTTTACACGCTAGTTCTAACCTATGTACAAAGAAAATGTAATCATCGCAAAAAATCTGTCTTATCTCTCGGTCGATAAAGTGAATTCAACTTACCTTCGGCTGTGAGATGTTGATGTGATCGTAATTACGCGCAACCGTCGTCGGCGTGTCCGTGACGATGGTCACCTTTTTAAAAACGCCGCGACCGAAATACTCGGCCGCTACGGTGAAACCGTCGTGCACCTTCTCCAGCTGAGCGTGGAACGTCTCGTGCAAGTCCTTATTGTACTCCTGCGCCTTCAGCAGTTCGAGAAGGTTCTTGTTTTCGGGTACGCAGGCGGGACACTCGTTTTCGTTGTCCGAGAAGCTCTGAAAGCAGTGCTGGTGGTAGCTGTGCTGGCACAGGAAGTGAACGCTCGGTAGTTCCAGCTGGTGGTGGCAGGCGGCGCAGCGCGATCCCTGAATTACGCTCACGCCGTTCTTCAGCGATTCCAGTTGCTGCTTGAGTTTTTGCGTGTCGGACTGGTAATTGTTTGTCAGCTTGGTGTCGGTGCCCGTAATTTCGTTTTCATTTTTTAACTCGTTGATAATATAAGAACGTAGATGGGACAATTTTATGTCCGCGTCGCTTGTACCTATCGCCTCAATTATTATTTGAGGTGACAGCAACCGATCCTTCGCTATCACCTTCAGTATTTCCGGTAGCAATTCGGTCGATAAATTTTTCGATTCCCTAATGCACAGCCACAGCGCTTGAATCCACAGGGTCGGCTCTTGATGGCCAAACCGCCTACAGCAGGTCAGGACCGCGCTTGCGTCGCCATGCGAAAAATGATACCTAGAGAACGCGTTAAAACCGGCGGTGTTTTGCTGACACTTACCTCAAAATCTGCTGATATAATTTCTCCTCCTCGTACAAATACAGAACGCCGTCGCTAAACTTGTGCATATGACATATTACGAGCGCTTGTGATTTGTCGTACTTAATTTCGGAATTTTGCATCAGTTTTAAAATTTTCTGCCCGTACTTGCCCTTCTCGAGATCAACCTTCAAAGATGTCCAGACGTGCAGATAATGCTCAATTAGCGTGTCATACACCGGCGTGCTCAAAATACAACCGTCGGCAATTAGGTGTTCCAAAAAATCGACCAGAAACTCGGAGTTGTTTAGAAACAAGTGAATGTAGTCCTCAGGATCGGACCGTTGCGCTTGCGCCATTACCGCGTCCAAGTTCGTGGATTTCTCGGACGAGAAATTCGTACATAAACGCTTCAGAAATGCGGTACTTTCCAGTGGGGAGTATTGTATCAGTACTTGTCCGTATTTCTTCATGTAAACTTCGGCGTCTTCGAAGTCTAGCTCGGAAATGTATTCCAGCGCCTCCTTGTATCTTTGGTAATCTTCTATTTCGATCTTTATGTACAAGTCATGTTTTTTGTGCCTTTTTGCCATAGTCAACGCTTCTTGGGGGCTAGCCTAAACAAACAGAATCTGCATTGGAGCTGTAGGTGTAAAGGTAAAGAGCAAAATTTCCGATTATTGAACATCGTTCTGGATGTGACAATCTGGAGATTCTAAATCGTATTTTGTGCAGGAAATTCCACTGCACTTTTCGTATGGGTGCAGGTGGATTGATCTCCAGGGACAGAGACGTCTAATTGTGATTGGCGGTTTATGTGAAAATTCAAAAAGGAGGAGATTATTTTATGGTGGAAGTGGTGGATCCTTCAAATACGGAAAGAAAATAAAAACGAGGCTTTTTGGTGGTTTGAATGTGCACGTTTTTTGGCAGTCAGCCCTGTTTTGATGTGGAGACGCAATTAATCGTTATAGTTTGAGTGTTATTAAACCAAGCGGTTGTTGCATAGTGAAGCCTTTTGATAAGGTGTTTAAAAAAAGGTGTTATACCATCTGAAAAGCCACGAAATTTTCTCATCTAATTCTATAAGCCAGTTTTTTGTCATAAAAATTCAGTTTAATAAAAAAGAAGTTCTAAGTGCTCCCGAATATCGCAAAATTTTGACAACCAGATTTATTGAATTATTAAAACAATGTAGTAGATTCCTTTAGTTAATTGTCTGTCGAACGCCTGCGTGCGTGGTATGTATAACAGTCTCTCAAAACTTTTATTCTTTAAAAGTTGCTTAAAATGATCTAAAACGTTGATATTTGATGAAATTTTGACATGTCCATCTTGAAAAAATAGAATAGAAACAAATGAATTAAATGGTAACGTAATTTTTGTTGTAACTTTTTGACCAAGGTAAGCGAAAATCGTTATTTATGCAATAATTTCGGTTGATGCCCAATGTTTTACTTAGCTTCGGGTTATAGAATCTCTTGTATTTTGGGATCATCAACGAATTTCACAGTTTTTGACAGTTGAAAATCAGTTATTAAAAACCGGCAAGGTCGACACATACCTGTCGACAAACCTTAATGGCGATATCCACGTCGAAGTCGAGATCTCGATCCTTCAACAGTATAAACTCCTTCAAATTCTCCGGTTTGTTCAGTTTCGTGTAACAATTCAGCAGCAGCGTCGTATGATCCTCGGTGGCCTGCCCCTGCTTGTGTATAGTTTGCAGATAACTCGTGAGTTTCTCGATGTGCTGCGAGTCCAGGAACTTCCGTATGACGTAGCTCGGTTCCAGTCGACCGATCGTTTTCGCGTACTGCTCGATCGCGCCCCAGTAGTCGCCCTTCGTGTACAAGTGATCTCCGTACTGCCTGAAGATGTCCACCAGACCGTCGGCGTCGTACTGCTGCGATTTGGCGATGCGTATCGCGACGTCGTACAAGTTTTTCTTAAAGAGCAGCAGCAGTTTCGACTGTAAGTCTTTCTCGTCCAGATGGTACATGTTGTTGTTGCCGTCCAAAAGGTATAATCCGCCCCATTCGATTAAGACCGCCTTAATTTTCTCCATCGCCATCGAGAAGACGATGAACTTATTCTGAATGTCTAAAATGGTAAGCGAGTGACCTTGCGTGGAACTGCTGCCGCTCAAATTTTGTATGCTAGGTCTAGTGGGCGTCGATATTATAATTAAATAGCTGCGGAACCATTCCAGGAGCACCTTTTCGCCTTCCACGGCAAAGCAGGGACCGCGTCCGTCGCTGGTGTAGCAATAGATCGCCTGGAACGCAAACGTTAAATTTAATGCACTCGAACGTGCGGATAATTACATCGTTACGTGCCACCATGAAGTGACTTTCTTGTATTGACTCGGCGAGAACGCTACACCTTTTAGCACATCCGATCGTATCCAAGTTACACTACAAAGGTCGGTATTAAACTTAATTTGAACGCTCAGATCAGTCTGATGGGGAAACCACTCTCTAGGAATCGGTATTGCACATAATCTGATGATAGGCAGAGCGATCGAATGGCACTTATTTTTTCAAAGATCTATTAAGCTTCTTATTACAAAAAATAGGTACAGATACCACCCGCACACCTGCGTATGCGCGTTCTGGCCAAGAGCTTTTCAGCACTTTCTTTATGTCTAAGAATATGTGTACCAAAACCAAACCCTAGGCTATGATAATTTGAGCATCTCCTTCTGTTACCTCTGGTTTATTATTTTATTCATATTTCTGACAGTTTTTACATTATTACATTAACAACTATTCTCTGATCACTTTAAATAAGTCTTTCTGAGTGAATAATATTGACATTTTTCACGATCCCCTCCCCTAAATGTAACAGTTAATCGAATTAGATCTTAAGCCCTAACGTATGTTGAGAGCCCCAGTGCCATGTAATTGGAATGTTCTTATTCTGTATGGTGTCTGGTTAAACAAATAAATAAATAAATAAAATTCTTTAACAAATACAATCGTGCATCTTCTATTAACAAAAGAAAAATGATAAACATTACAATGTTTTTAGCGTATTTTTTTCAAAAATGCGCTAAAAACATTGTACTTTTTAAATTAATATTCGTTATGGCTGGCTGGCCGGCTGTCCGGATGAGATCTCAGCAACTACAATAGCTAGAGACTTCAAATTTTCACTAATAGCTTTCTCCTTTAGTGTAGATGTGCGGGCTCTAGTCTATTTTGAGTTGATTACTTGTGAGATCGATAATTTAAGAAAATCGATATGGTTTTTGGGAGGTGCTATAATTTTACCGTTAGATAGCGCTACCAGTATAAAAACTTTAAAGTCACTAAATATAGAAAGTACCGCAATCCATTGGGCTCGTGTGAGAGAGAACGCATGATTTTTGCCCAAAAATGCCGGAAGTTACCAGATTCTAGTAACTTTAATGTTAGGGATTGTTCCACCTGTTTGGAGATATCTGATATTTTTATAAAGCATGACAGTACTATGAAGTTAGGTTATAAAAAATGACAGCTATTCAGATTTTATTTGTCAATTTTTTTAAGTTGGCAGCAAATTTGCCCAAAAATGGCCGATGATTGCGGTACTTTCTAGTAGTGACATTAAAAAACTTAATTTACTTTATGATCTGTTTTACAAAATAAAGACGTACCCTCAATTGAAATTAAATAAAATTAATTATTTAACGCAGCCAAAATTCCTCGTGAGATCGATAATTTTAAACTTCGCTAATAAAATACTGACCTGTATTACCAAAAATGCGCTTTAATCATGGATATGCTGATTTACAACTTGTTTTAAAATTATTTCATTGGTGGATATATAATTTTAAATACCAGTTTTTCTAGTTAGCAAGACGAGATCATTACTTTCTATACAGGGTGTCCATTTTTCCGGTCCCACTATGGGGATCTCGCTTATTGTAAGAGATAGAAAGTTGGCTAAATGAGGGCAAAGTTACGAATTTTCGTGCTGGATAATAATCTGAAAAAATGTTTTTTCGTTTTTAATTTTTTCATAATAAACTACTAATTGTATTTCTCACCAAAACGTTACTTTTTTATGACGCCATTTTGGATTTTGTCATTAGTATCATCAGTATCACATTTTTCCTAAAAATACAATTTTCCATTTATTTACGAAACGTTATTTTGTTGTAAATAAAAATTTGACAGTTTGAGCCCATTTCAAATAGTGTCATTCGCGTTTGTGCTTAGGGTTGGCAGTTCTTCGGGTTTCACGCGGAGTTTTCGGGGTTCCCATTACATTCTACGGGCTGCTGGTTTACACAACATTCCTCCAGGCGCGCCATTTTGTAATTTTTTGCGAATCTAAGGGCGGCCCTACACGAGTCGCATTTTGCAGTTAAGGTAACCACAGAATTGTCGATTGTCAAAATCGGACTAGGTGATCCAATTTCGATTTAATACAGGTACATTTTTTCCCATTTGACCAATATTGCAGCTCGAATGGATTCTAAGATTATATTACAACTAGCAGACCCCGCGAACTTGGTACCGCCTTTAGGAAATCTCGTTTTTTGTATCGCTCGGTTTCGGCAGCTGCGCCGCCTCACCTCGCACACCCTGCGAACTATAAAATCACCTAGCGCTATGAAATATACTTTACGACCCATTCTCATACAGCGTTGCCCCTTTTTGTGACAAAAAAATCGCATTTGAAATTTTTGAAAAATCTTTTAAAATAACTGAGATATCATCGAAAAACTGAAAATATCGAATATCATTTTCCCTAGCTTAAACGCTCGGAAATAGACGATTCCCGTTAGCGTCATCTATGGCCACTTTCTTTCGGAGAATCTGTTGCCAGAATTTCCATATCATACTAGGCGTAGAAGCTACCGGCTACTACTTACTTTCTTATTTCTTATCGTCGCCATATTGAATTTTTACGGAATGAGATAAAGAACAAAAAAAGAAATTCATTGGAATGCATCGCCTTCATAGCCATGTTGATTCAGCAAGATCTAGTAATCGTGGATGATTTGTTAAGAACATTTGATTTTTAAATTTATGTAAAAGTATCGAGTGTTACACGTCATTATTTTTCTTTTTTTATCGTCTATCTCATTCCGTAAAAATCCAATATGGCGCGCATATGGAATACGAAAATGGTAGCCTGTATTATATCTTCTACATCTAGTGTGTTATGGAAATTCTGAACAGATTCAGATTCTCAGATAAAAAAGTGCCCATAGAAGGCTCAAATGCGTTTTTTTTAGTCACAAAAGTTGTTCCTATTTGACCTACACTGTATATCTTTCAACGATACGGAGATCCCAATGGTTAGAATTTGAAAATTCGCTCGCCTAAAATATACGGGGGGAAAATCAAAAAATTCTCAATGTCCAAATGATACAGACAAATGTTTGTGTTTCTATATCATTGTTGAGTAATCTGCCATTTTCAAAATAAGTATTCGGGGCCAGGTAAAAAATTAATGAACCTGATCTCATTTTTTTAATAGAACACCATATACATTTGAATCTAAAAAAGATAGAGTATCACATTCTCTTTTCCAAAATATTACACACCAGGGCTGACATTCAAAAAAGATTCAAGTGATTCAAAAAGATTAAAAAAATTGAAAGAAGTGGTTCAAGTGATTAAAAAAAACACAAATTTCAAAAAGTTTGTTGAATTTATATTTTAGATTAAAATATACTGGATGTTCTAATTAAAAAAATAAGGTTAGGTCCGATAACTTTTTTACCTGACCCTGTATACTAATTTTGAAAACAGCAGACAATCAAAGAAGCTTTTATCTCTTGTAGAAAATACAGGGTCATTCTGAAATTGGAAATTTCTTGATAACCGAGCGAATATTTGCAAATTTTGATTTTACCATTTTAAGTGTGATTCAAAAGAAGCACATGACTCCTATATTTTTCAAGAGCTTTTATTTGATGTGCTATTTTAGATTTGAAAGTCAGTTGTGGTGGGGATAGTCAGCAGTGGGGAACAAATGAAAATCGCCATCAAACATGTCCCCAAAGTGGGACCAGACCATTAGGAGTATTTTTTTTAAATCAAACTTATCAATTTTTGATCTTTGTTCAAGACACTTACTATGGTGGAGCAAAATTCTAATAGTGCTACATTATTCGATGATATTTTGTAATACCCTGTATTGTGAAATGTCAAAAGTAATGCAAAATAATTCTAAGCAATTCCGAACATGCGGTACATACATTCTTACGAGTGGTTTCCCCATAGGGTTAATCAGCACCTTTTGCTCGCGATCTTTATGTGTTACATTAAATACACACACTGAACTTTCGGTGCCGACAAACAATAACGTTGCGGAGGCAGTCGTTTTGAATGCCAATCCGGTCACGGTTGAGCTAACGTCACGTAACAGTTTCTGCTTCGAACCACGATCCCGTGTAATATCACCCCTGAAACATGTATCTCAAGTATTTCGGTTACGAGAACGAACAGGTAGATGGGACATATGTAGATTTTCCTTGGGAAAATTTTTTAAATGTAGTCTAACAGTTTTCACAAGGTGGCATATCTAGAACGAACAGTTTTTCAAAAGCTGTAGGCAGATTTCCATAAATATTCATAATATTTCTCAGAAAATGTTTCATCAAAGACGCTTCAGAGTTACCAAGAAGAGATTTCTTAAAATTTCAAACATTGAAAATGCTCTTGAAAGGGACTATTTCCAGGAAAAGATTATTTAATCTTCCAAAATGATCCCTTTCCCCCTTCTGAACAACTGTAATTTTTTTTAAATCTTCCTAGTCTTAAGAAATATGAATTAATCTACTCTAATAATGTAATTTCACTATTTTTATTGAAGTCCAAGTAATGTAAAATTCTCTCATACACTAAAAAATACTTGTGTCACACCCCATGCCTTTTAAGACTCAAGGGGCTGTTCCACATCTTTATAGTGCATTCGAGGATCTCATTTTGGGATACTTTTATACCTACAATGAGCCTACAGTGCGTAAAATTTAACTCTGAACATAATCTCCTGCATATAAAACTCCTTTGTTCAATTCTAAAATATACCGGGTGATCGAAAAGTAGTGCGGACAGTTTGAATTTCCCGTAAAACTAAAGATTTATAAAGTTGGTAACATACCAAATGTCATTTATGTAATAGCAGCGGTGGATCAATTTAATCACTAATGCATAAATAAACTACCTTCTAAACATGTTTGCCAATTCCTTAAGTAAAAAAACATTAAAAACTGTAAGCGCCCAATTTAAACTGTCTGCAGTTATTTTCGATCACCCGATACATGTTAAGGCATTGATACCCCTGACAGTTATGCAACCCAACTTACACACTAGATACAAATTCGGCCGATTTGTTTGGCAGATTCCGACATATCGAGTACAAAAAATCTACATATGGCTCATTTTACGTTTTTAGACCGTACCTATACAGTACAAGGGAGCCATCGGCAAACCCCACCGCCATTAGCTGCAAACCATCGTGCACACAGAGCGCAGTCGCCGCCACCGGTTTATTTCCAGGTATTGCTCTGCTAATCCGACAACAATGCGGCACTCCATGCTTGTTACGATTCGTATTCCAAACTTTAATCACCGGATTCACCCCGGCCTCGTCCTCCTAAACGAAACGGTAACAGCACACAGAAAAAACAACCCGCCGCTCACTTACACCGATGGTAATCAACAGAGTCGAGTTGCGCAAATGCTGGGCGAGAGTGACCCTCAGTTCGTAGCCGCGAAAAGTCGTAATCTCCCACGTGCGCGATACTAGATGTATCTGTCCGAGGGAGTCGCCCAGGACGATTTCGTTATTACCGCTCGTCGCGACGATTATCTCGGAGTCCTACGGTAAAACGGGCGGTTAACGGGGACCCGAACGTAAAGAGGCCTACTACCTTGAACAGATCGGAAATACGCCCCTTGTCGATGTTCGGCTTGACGTCGAAGAAATTGAACTTCCTCCACTAAAACGGAACAATTGAGTTTTAACGGAGTGTCGCAAACTGCAAACCGGTTTACCTCTAAAAAGGCCATGGTTTTTTATATCAATTTTTTGGGTTTATCATTGTTTATAAAAAGGACCTTTGGTTAATAACATTTAAAGGCGACGTTGCCAATTTTTTATGTGCGAAACTGTCAATAGTGTCAATACAGTACAGTACCAGTGGTGGAGTAGGTAAATTTGCAGCTCAGGGGGGCTTTTTATTTTTCCCCGTCGATTCATCTTTTTATTGTATACGAATTTTATAGTATAAAAGGCTGAATAATAATAGTAATAACACTGTGTGGAATTAAGTGGCTGTCAAGAATATTCCTTATAGAATGTTTGGAACACCAAGAACATTGACGAATAGAATGGTTGCGATGGACATTTTTTAGAATTTTGCAGAGGTTTTCAAAGCCTTTTCATTAAAAGGGTCTAGAAATCGCGAAAAATGGTCGAAATACATTGAAACCTGTAAAAAGCGCCTAAATACATCTAAAACCAAAAAACCTAAAAAAAATGCTCATAATAAAAGTTCTAAAAACCTTTATAGCGCCCTTGTAAGCACTTAGGAACACCTTTCAAGTGCTTCCCATAATCTTTTAAGTGTTTTTCGCAGTTCAACATACCTTTAGACCTTTCCTGGAGCCCTTTCTAATCTTTCCATTTCGTCCAGTTTTTTTAACAACGTCAGCTCTTTTTAATTTCGGCTCGGTCGCGGGCTCACGGGCTGTCTAGAACTGTAGAGCTTTTTTGGCACTTCCTAAAGTCGTATATTTCCTAGGAAAGATTTAGAAGGCGTTTGCTTTGTAAATTATTCGCGGGCTTTGGAGAAAGCGGACTTTAGAGGGCACTTGAATGCAATTTTTCAGAATCTTGTAAGCGTTTTTGCGACTTTCGAGAATTTACCAGGCTGTTTTCACCGCTTTCCAAAGTATTTTCTTAGCTTTCTAGATCTTTTCCAGAGCTAGAGAGCTAAAATAGGTTTACATTGCAATGGAACGCCTTTTAAAGGCATCCAACCTTTATGAGGAGTTTCTAGGTCCTTCCTAGAACCAGGCGAGTCTACAGTAGTCCAGAAAAGGGCCTCTAGCGAGAGCGCTTACGGTGGTCTCATCAGTAATTTCTTTCCAAATCGGTCCAACGCTTTTATGATCGTTTTATGCCCCTTTCAAAGCTTTTAGGCTTTATCAAAACTCTCTCGAAAACTCTAGAAGGTGCCTAGCATTTAAAGGCTTACTAAGAAGAAGCAATAGAATGTTTTCAGAGGTTCTTAGGCTTCCTCCAGAGTTTTAAATAGTCTTAACAGTGCATTCTGTTGCACTGTTGTTTAGGTGCTTTGGGAGCTCTCTTCAGGGGCGGACTGGGTCCTTACGGGCCAGATGGAATTGCATAGGTTACGGGCCATTAAAGTATTAGTGTAATGAAGATTGTGGGGGGGGGGGGGGAGTGGAGTTTTTCAACTCGAGTTCAAAGTTTGACACATGAGCGTAGCGAGTGTGTCAAAAAAACGAGAGTTGAAAAACACTTTCTTCTCAAGATTTACACATAATTTTTTTGTGAAACTACAATCAAAATTGAAAACTTATCATATGCAATCATGAAGTTTGACGCATAGCAATCTAGATAAGGGTATGTTTCAATTTTAAATGTCATTATTAAGATTAACGCAGCAATTGTTTTTACTTTCCCCACTAGAGAGGAAAATTGCATTTTCTTCACCCTTTTTAGAGACGAAAGTAGTTGTTTCTAAAGGCGTTTCAGTATTTTAAACGCGTTTCAGTAGTTTTTAAGTGCTTTTTAAGACACAGCTCACTAGATTCAAAGCGTGTAGATAAATGGATAAATCCACCAGATAGGCGTAAGTGCGATCAACGACAGTTTTTCACTTGTTTGATTTGTTCAATAAATATTTTTAAATATTCCAAAACAATTGTAAGGCGGGCGTAAACATATCTGCAGGGGCCTATAAAATGCCCACGGTAAGCAAACAGTCAAATCTTTCGTATAGTTGCTTATATTTGCGGAATGTATTTCACTTGTTTAAAATATCTCTCATTAAACAAAATATGATACTTCATAACTACATACTTACGTAAATGCTAATATCATTTACAGTGCTAATAAGCAACAATTAAGTGTTACGTTTGGCCCCGTGGCAAAACGTTAGCAGTTACGCCACTGCGCAGTGTGTGTGTATTATGTGTCCAATCAATAATTCAATTAAGTAAGCTCATAAGCGGATAGTTGCTTGTCCAAAAAATATTGTTGTTTAAATTTATGAAATTCTACAATATTTGTTGTTGGATTTATTGAATTTCGCCAATATTTTTTACAAAAAGTTGTATTTTCAAATTAAATGCGGGGTTGCCGCTGTGACTCACGGTTCACTAGCGGCATCTGACCGAACATCGCGTAGGTAATTTTTTAATGATACGCGCCATGTTTGTCAAATCCCGGTGTTAATTTGGCGGGACTCAAAACGAATTTACTGATTATTTATAGATTATTTCAATTTGAATTGGCCATTACCGCCAAAAATGGGTGATAAATGTGATCAAGGTACGTAGAAACGTTGAATACGCGGTTCTTATTCGTTAAAATCTTTTCACCTTAGAAACCTTTGATGAGGCCGTGGAGGAACGTGTTATTAACGAAGAATACAAAATATGGAAGAAAAACACCCCGTTTCTCTACGATCTTGTCATGACTCACGCCTTGGAGTGGCCCTCGTTAACCGCCCAGTGGTTGCCCGATGTAACACGACCGGAAGGTAAGGAGTACTCGATTCACCGCCTCATACTTGGCACACACACCTCGGACGAACAAAATCACCTTTTAATCGCCAGCGTACAGTTGCCGAACGAAGATGCTCAATTCGATGCCTCGCATTACGATAACGAAAAGGGCGAGTTTGGCGGCTTCGGTTCAGTGTCCGGCAAAATTGAGATCGAAATAAAAATTAACCACGAAGGCGAGGTCAACAGAGCACGATATATGCCGCAAAATCCCTGCGTGATTGCCACGAAAACACCTTCGAGCGATGTGCTCGTTTTTGATTACACCAAACATCCCAGTAAACCAGATCCCAGTGGCGAGTGCCATCCGGATTTACGTTTACGCGGACACCAAAAGGAGGGCTACGGTTTATCTTGGAATCCAAACCTCAACGGCTATTTATTATCGGCGAGTGACGATCACACCATCTGCCTGTGGGATATCAATGCGACACCAAAGGAGAATCGTATTATAGACGCAAAAACAATATTCACCGGACACACGGCGGTCGTCGAAGATGTCGCGTGGCACTTGCTTCACGAAAGCCTCTTCGGATCCGTCGCAGATGATCAAAAATTGATGATTTGGGATACCCGCTGCAATAACACCAGCAAACCCAGTCATACGGTGGACGCACACGCAGCCGAAGTGAACTGTTTGAGCTTCAACCCGTATTCGGAATTCATCCTCGCTACCGGTAGCGCCGACAAAACGGTAGCACTTTGGGATCTACGCAACCTAAAATTAAAATTGCACAGCTTCGAGTCGCACAAAGACGAAATTTTCCAAGTGCAATGGTCCCCGCACAACGAAACCATTCTGGCATCGTCCGGTACCGATCGGCGGCTGCACGTCTGGGACCTGAGCAAGATCGGCGAGGAGCAAACGCCCGAAGACGCAGAGGACGGTCCACCCGAGTTGCTATTCATTCATGGGGGACATACGGCAAAAATTTCAGGTAAACTAAAAGTATACAGGGTGTAGAAAAATCTTTCCAAACGAATTGAAGGTCCAAAATTTACTTTCGCAGCAACTATAACATACAAAGTTGAGACTAACAACTTTACCAAGGTTTTTTGGGTATGCTTTTTGGATTTTGTAAAAAAATGTTTAGAAATTCATACGCTAAAGAAAAATTGACAATCTACGAAAAATTGGTAACTTTGATCATAAAACTGATGCATTTTTTTTGCAAATGTCATTGTAACAGTAGGCGTAGAAACAGTAATTTTTGAAATCTGTTCTAAATTAAATGCCAGACCCTGATGATGAGTGACTAATTTATAGAATTGTACAGTGTGCCTGTTTTTTCGATCTTGAAGAGAGATATTTTTCCTTATGTGCTTTGTTTAAATTGTTAGAATTATTGCTAATAATTTTTTATAATTATTCTTATTAATTTTTGGCTTAGATTTCAGTTGGAATCCCAATGAGCCTTGGGTCATTTGCTCAGTATCGGAAGACAATATCATGCAAGTGTGGCAAATGGCCGAAAATATTTATAATGACGAGGAGCCCGATCTACAAGCATCCGATGTTGAAGCGACTGCTAATTGAATTACGTTTAGAATTACATTTTTGTACTTGTACACCTTCATTTATTCCTTAGATGTTTATGATAATTGATTTGTGTGTAAGTTAGCTTTATGATTAAGTAAATTTTGTGAATTTTGGAAAGTATTTTCTTATTGGACTTGTTATACCGTATGGCTCGATCACCAAACTACTTATAAAAAACAATACAGGGTGTCCCAGATCAAGTGGGTTTGCATGGGTAACTTGGAAGATTTGGTGATGGGTTTATTTAAATCGGGTTTTGTGTACTTGTTCAAAATCAGGGGCAATTCAGCTATTTTAAAAAATAAAACGACAACAAAAATTATAGAAGAGAGTTAAAATGAATGGTTTTTTAATCATAAATTATATTGCACTTTTGAAAAAAGGACAAAAAACAATTGTAAAAAGAAAGTTTGTATTCATATCCCAGCATAGTGTCGATAAACAATTGTAATATATTTTTGATTTTCTTATTGGTACAAGATCCCACATAAGACCAACCTTTGCTCATCTTGTTTACATAGTGAAATACATTTTTAGCAATCTTGCAAAGTCAAGACAATTGTTACTCTGAGGAGACTACCCTTAATTTAAAAAAATAATATTTATTGGTAAAATATGCTTACAAACATACTATAAATAAACATGAAATAACAAACTTAATTAAAAATTAAACTTAATAACAAAATTAATGTAATTAATATTTTTGTCTGCTTCTGTCACATGGAGAGAGCGCATGCGAACTCTTTTATTTGTTACTCAGTTGTAAACGTTGATTAACAATACAAAACGCAAACGGGTAAACGTCATGTTTAAACGCTACTGACTTGTAAAACTGACAGCTGACGTGTAAAAATTTTACAAGTTAGTAATCTAGTAATGTCATTGGCCAGAATTAATGCGAAGTCTCTGTTACATGGATAACATGATATTTTAGACTTTTCTTCAAGATCAATTTAAGAACTAATTATTTACGTTTACTATTGTTTATAAATGAGTAACAAATAAAATATTGTACATTATACGCCAAGTAATAGTTTTTACTGGCTCTAGGAGATGACAGGCTCGCCAGTCAACTTCTCCTATCGCCAGTAAAAACTCACTTACCTGGCTAATAATGTAAAATACTATTACATCGATGCATACAACACAAGCAGCTGTTCTGCTGCGTCCTCTTTCACGCGGAATAATACACGTTTCTCTCTCGCGCTACTTAAAACGCTGATTGAAAGTCAAATTGGCCTACACGTTTCATTGCCACTTTCTCTGTCTGTTCGAGTCCCTAACTACTAGAGTTTTCAAAATATTTAGTTCATTCTTTTTGAATTCGGTTGCTTACAGCTCTGGCACCAAGAAAAATCTTGACGATTAGTGTGCGCATGCGCTGCTTACGCAGTGCTAACTTTCGTATCTATAGATATGTTTTTGAAATTTAACTACAGGCGGTACTAGTAAAGGCAAACATATCTTGTATTGTAAAAACCAGATGTGCGCATGTGCAGACTACGCAATGCCAACTTTATAGACATTTTTTTGACACTTTAGCACTTATTCAATGGTAGTATAGAAAAACATAGCGCACATAGCTATGCATGGTAGTACTAGCCGAGCCCAATTTATTTCTTTCGAGCCGACCACTCTCTTTTTCGAGTTGAATCGAACTGCTTTCTCGCTTATCGAGCAGCTGATGGATTGAATTTTTGTTCCTTTTGACCAGCTGCTAGGGCTATTAGCGGGTCAAGTAAGTAGTTAATCATTATCTTTATTTGACTTCGGTAACTACATATCTACTTTTATCCTTTCTCAGCCTTTATATCTTACTGTAGATTTACCTCTTTAATAAACTCTTTTCCTACTTGGCATAGTTCTTGTACAGATTTATTGTTTATTCCTTTTTCTAATGCTTTCTCTCTCGTTTCAGGGCGATATGGAAGATTCAACTGGTAAGAGCCTCTTCCCCACACTTTGGGCATTGCAGGGCGGGATCTCCAACAAGTAGGTGTAAGTATATATATTTATTATTATTATTATTATCATCATATGCGGTATTATACTATATACTATGCGATCAAAAATGAGTTGCTGTGGAGTCACCTTTGGAATTTTTGTATGCATGGGAAATCGTACTTAACTTGAACTTGTGTGGTACTCGTTTGTGTAGGTATATCGTATATATACCTATCTGCGGTATTTAACGAAACACCACCTCCACCAAACAAAAAACTCCTTTCCGTATTTAGAAATAATGCGCCAATAAAAGCCTTGATAACGCCAACGTCGAAGCATCGCGCTCCCACTTTCGCCGAAAATAACACGCACAACTCAAATAAACTTTACGCAGTTACAAAAATTTTAAAAGGAAAAGTAACACTACAGAAAGACAAACTCAAATGAAATAAACCAATTCTGTGCTTATTCGTACAGGGTGTACATTGTTTTGGGCGTTAAATAACGTCAACATGCCGTTGTTTACACAACAATATACTAATACGTGTATGTTGCCCATTTATTGCTCAATCACCCCAATCTGTTGTAATTCGTAGCCATGTTCATTTGTGCTAGTCGAGGAATCAGGAGACAATTTTAATGTGCGTATACGGCCATACTTATCCGACTCCATTTAGCTATCTCTACTCTGCTGGAGTTCTGTTCTTGGGTTGGGGTAAATTTTATTCTTTTAAGGTACTTGATGCTTGTACCTACATTTGCAGTTAAGAAAATAATTTATTTTTAGTTAATTCATTGTTTATTTTTACACCTATATACAGGGTGCCCGTTATGTATGGATCTCCCTAAATGACGACTGCAGCATTCAGTTGTTTTTATTTCAGAAAACAAATGAGTAACGAAAAACAATTGAATTTTTTTAAATAGCAATGTACCCTTTCATTAAGCTCATTCGATTCAATGACGTATTATACATTATCATCCTTATTTTTGATTTAACTTTTTCGTGATAACATTGTATAGTTTCGTTTTGTCTTCAAGATTTAATAAGAAACGTACACGTTCATTTGTTATTTGTAGGATATCTAGATTAATATGTTACTGATGTAATTACTTAATGAGTTTTTAAATTTTTTGAAAAATTGTCTTGTATAAGGGTACTAACATGTTTCGTCATCGAAAAGAGAAAAAAATCTCTATCAAACGAAACGAGCGTAATAAAAAAGTACTTACATTGATATTAAAAAAATTCAATTGTTTTTGTTACTTTCGCCATTGGTTACAATTGAATTTGTTGCTCAACAGGCTTTCGTCTAGTGCTTAAGATAACGCGGGTCGCCTGTAGGTATAGTACCTAGCTCCATACATAGTGGACACTCTGTATAATGTCTTGTTTCTACAGAGTGTTCCTAAAGCAACCGGCATTATGGCTCAATGGTAGAGCGTTGAGTTATAAATCCGGAGGTCGGGTGTTCGAACCTGGGTTGAGGTGAATTTTTCATCTGTGGCAGAGATGGAAATTACCTTAGACCAGTTTCGAGCATTCTGCCGGCTACTCAGAATTAGGTTTTCCTGCAGTTTTCCTAATTCGTAAGGTAAATATACCGGAGTAGTATAGGACAACTTAAGACCTTCTGCAGAGGCACCTCTAAAAAGCATTATGCGGGTCACTCTGTAATTGGGCGCAAGCCTGTTGAGGGCCCAGAACAAGAGAGGGATAATAAATAAATAAATAAAAAATAAATAAATATGAGGTAATTCTTTGACTTATTTTATAACCAAAAGTTTATGTAAACATAGGTCCGCAAAGGCTTCGTTACTGACCTACAGGGTGTTATAATTTCACCATACATTTTACAAATTATAAACATAATATGCAAACACAAGATACAATTTAAAATGCGAAAACAAGTGATTATCTAAAAAATCCAGAGCCTACAGGGCCATTTTAAAAATTTTGCTCTAGCAACGTCTTTGAAGGGGAGCTATAAATCTGCATGTGATGGGATATTCAAAGGGTCCCCTACACGATCTGACAAAATTCTGGTTCGTATTATTCTCGGAAAAGAATTTTTCTTATAGAACGTCGCCTGTAGAATCCATAATTTCAAACAGTTCCAAGATTGGGCTACTAGTTCAAAAGTTACAGTCCTTTGAATTTTCTTTCGAAATTGGTTTCTAGTCCATAACTTTTGATTGAGAAGTCTGATCGAAAAAGTACGAATTCTTTTGAATTCTACGCACCAAAATTAATAAAAAAAGGTGTTTTCCCGAGAAGTTTTGGTGCAGTCGATTTTTTGAAAAAAAATGTCTACGACTTTTATGTGGCAATTTTTTAACTTTATTAAATTGAGAGTAACAGGATTAATTAATAATAGCGAATAAACAAACAATTAAGTAATAAAAAATTATAAAACGTAGGCAATTATAAACAATATAGGTGTTTAATCAATGGGCGGGTCCGGTAAAGTGCTTCTTGATATTTTTCCAGCATTTGTAGTACTCCAAATCCAACTTTTGGCACGTTTTGGCACCCCACTCGGTGACGGCTAACTCCATGCAAGTTTCAAACATAAACGCCTAGAAAGCTCTTGCTCAAAAAGTTTCAGAAATACCCAATTTTTTTTACCATAGTCCCTTCAGCTACTCTTTTTGGTTTTAATTCTTCATTAAAGGCCATCTCGAAGCATTGCGCATCGGGGCCGTGCGGAGTCATGGTGCTATGCAGAGTGGCACCTCCGGGCTGGAACCCTTCGGCCTTTGCCTCGTAATTGCCGAAAATCAAACCCATAAATTCCGACATGCAGTTTCGATGGTAGTAGGGCGGTCTGAATGTATGCTCCTGAACCGACCAACGCGGTGGAAATATTACGAAATCGGCAATTGCCGTCCCCTTCATTTCCGACTGACAGGTGAGCAGGGTGAATATGGACGGATCCTAAAAGGTCTTTGCCGCAAATGGTGAGCTAACGCAAAAGTATACGTACACAATGATCGAACGTGACCGAGTTAATCACCATGAAGTTTGCCAGGTCGTATTTATACGGTACGTAATTTCCAAACCAAGCAACTACGTCGAAAGGACTATGGTCTTGGTTACAGACGAACAGTTTGCCCTGATACTTTCCAATAATCTCATACTGCACGTCGCGATCTTCGTACCAGGCGACGGG